GACGTTGCCTGGAAATATTAGTCTTCCTTGGTTCCCTGAAATACAGCCCACCAGATAAACACCATGAGCCAATAACCATGTCAGTATGTGGCAGCCCAAAGGGCCAAAAGCACCTGGTGGGGATAAACAGGCTACTGCATTATAGCAGAATAACTGAAGCTATGTAACTGCCACCGTAAATGCAACGCCACCACTAGGCTCCAGGAATCCCATCTCAGGATGAGCAAGTTTAATCACTTCCGCTGCTGCTGCTTCCTTTTCTTACAGGTGTTAACAGGAAAAAAAAAAAAACACAGAGATAGATTGAGCAACTCTAAGGCACACAACTGTTCCATCGGATTTGTAAGAAGAAAGAAAAAGAAAAGGAGCTGTCAGATAGGTATGCTTGAGGTAGGCGTGAGGATGGGGAAGGGGAGGGTACCTTTGCATATAAAGACACAACTAGTGAATATGGCAAATGGTGAAATGTGCTGCCAATTGGAAAGCGACTGTTTGAACACTAAATGAAGTTTCAGATACCGATGGATTGACCGTGTTCCTCTATTGCTGAATTATGAACTGAGAATCTCAGGGGATCCAGAACTTAAAAGGAGGGAATACCAAGCAGCTTGGGTACATGTGAGTTGGCCTACTCTGAAACAAACTGAAAATGGCTAATTTATGAGGACTTTAAAGTAACGTATTAGAAGAATGACCATTGTATAAGAGGGCAGGGGAAATTCTGCTTTGATAATTTGACAGTTCAAAATGAACACTGCATTTCCCCTAATTCAATCTTGGTTTCCTTTAGCTAAATGTTTCCTTTCTTTACTACCCTCTTCACAAATCAGATGAAGGGCTGTTTAGCACTAACTCACTGGTCCTAAAAATAACTGGAGCTAAACAAAAAGCTCATTCTCGCTGGCATAAACAGTCTCCCAGGTAGCCGCTGTGCAGCGCCCCAGCAGTAAGCTGAGTGTTGCTGATGTACTGAGCAGAGACAGGAGCCCAGAGGGCAGTGCTTGGATTCCACAAAGGTTGCAAGGCCCTCTGAGACTCAACATCAAGGGGTTCTAAACTTAGAACTACAGGGGTTTGGTACGAGGTCTACATCAAAACCACTGGAGAATAAAGCAGATCCAGAGAAACACTGGCCAAGGAAGCCTCACAAACCACATGAAATAACATGAGAGGCTAGAGTTCCTCAAGAAAAGAGAAAATATATTTTTTAACTATGCTGAGAGAAAGCTGATTTGGTATCTCAACTCCCAGCCAAGTAGCCTCCTTAACTGTTCCCTCTGTCTGCATGCTTAGCACATACCAAGAGCAGGCACTGGGAGCTCTCATGGGAAGATATAAGCTCAGATACACATTTGGAGGACGGCTTGTACTTTCATTTCTGTGACTTTCTTATATCACCTCAATTTATAAAACAAAAGTAAATGAGCATGAGAAATTTAAAAAAATAAATTTGGAGCTGGGCGTGGTGGCTCACGCCTGTAATCCCAACACTTTGGGAGGCTGGGCAGGGAAGTGGATCACTTGAGGTCAGGAGTTGGAGACCAGCCTGCCCAACATGGTGAAATTCCATCTCTACTAAAAATACAAAAATTAGGCCAGGTACGGTGGCTCAAGCCTATAATCCCAGCCTGGGCCACACAGTGAAACCCCATCTCTACTAAAATACAAAAAATTTGCCAGGCATAGGGGCATGTGCCTGTAGTCCCAGCTATTCACGAGACTGAGGCCGGAGAATTGCTAGAACCTGAGAGGCAGAAGTTGCAGTGAGCCGAGATTGTGCCACTGCACTCCAGCCTGGGCAAAAGAGTGAGACTTCGTCTCTAAAAAAAAAAAAAAAATTAGTCAAGCTAAAGAACGAGAATTGTTTGAACCCAGGAGGCAGAGGTTGCAGTGAGCCAAGACAGGGTCTCATTCTATTGCCCAAGTGTTGTACAGTGGTGCAGCCTCCACTGGCTGCAGGATCACTTGATCCCCCAACCCATCTTTCAAGTGACTGGGACCACAGGTGTGTACCACCACGCCCAGATAATTTTGTAGAGACAGGATCTCACTGTATCGCCCAGGCTGGTGTTGAACTCTCAGGCTCAAGCAATCCTCTTCCCTGAGTCTCCCAAAGTTTTGGGAGTATAGGCATAAGTCACTGTGCTCATACAAGCATTAGAAATTTAAACCAATAAAATGAAGGAGCCAAGTATGGTGGCTCATGCTTGTAATCCCAGCACTTTGCAAGGTTGAAGCAGGCAGATCACTTGCGGTCAGGAGTTTGAGACCAGCCTGGCCAAGATGACGAAACCTCATCTCTACTAAAAATACAAAAATTAGTCAGGCCTGGTGACACACACCTGTAATCTCACCTACTCAGGAGGCTGAAGCAGTAGAATTGCTTGAATCTGGGGGGTAGAGGTTTCGGTGAGCTAAGATTGCACTACTGTATTCCAGCCTGGGCCACAAAACGAGACTCTGTCTCAAAAATAAAAAAAATTAGAAATAATAATCTTAAAAAATAAACTGAAGGGACTCAGAGAAAACAGTCAATGATTTGCCTCTCCTGCAGATGACTCTGTCACATTCCAGGACTGTTATTAAAGGCAAGAATGGGAAAAATCACCACCTGACTTACAGCAGTCATTTCTGCTATTTAACAGTATTATTATTATTTTAGAAACAGGGTCTCACTATGTTGCCCAGGCTGGATTCAACTTCTTAAGTTCGAGCAATCCTCCTGCCTCAGTGTCCCTAGTAGCTGGGACTATAGGTGTGTGCCACTGAGCCCAACAGCGTTTTTTAAACTACAGGTTATCATCTATCAGGTCACAGCATCAACTTACTGGGTTGCTACTAACATTTTCAAAAACTGAAGTCAAAGAAAGAGGAAATTATCAGTATGTATTACAGAAAGTAATAGTGATGTTTCATGAAACTTATATTTCAAATGTATATGTGTATATATGTACTGGGTCCTGAAAGAAAATTTGTATCTTACAATGAATTAAAATATAAAAAAGTGGCCAGGCGTACTGGCTCATGCCTGTAATCCCAGCACTTTAGGAGGCTGAGGCAGGTGGATCACTGAGGTAAGGAGTTGTAGACCACCCTGGCAAACATGGTGAAACCCTGTCTCTACTAAAATTACAAAAATTAACCAGGTGCGGTGGCGGGTACCTGTAGTCCCAGCTACTCTGTAGGCTCAGCAGGAGAACCACTTGAACCCCAGGAGGCTGCAGTGAGCTGAGATGGTACCGCTTTACTCCTGCCTGGGCAACAGAGTAAGACTCCGTCTCAAAAAAAAAAAAAAAAAAAAAAAGAAAGAAAAAGAAAAAATATATATACATATACACATATAAGTTTGAAACCATTGAGCTATTGGAAACTTGAAGGAACCTGATCAAAACTGTATACTACAGAGAGACTGTATATGGATGGATGAAATACTTGTGAACTGTGAAGAAGTTCATGGGTCAACTGAACATGCCACAGTTAATATACAAAGATTACTGCCAGTTACTATCGGAGCTATTAAAAAACCCTCACGTTATCCTGGAGCTAAGAAATGTGAACCTCCAGTATGAAAACACAGGAAACCACCACTGAAACTGAGCTGAGAGAGAATGGGGGCTTGTTACATAGCCCCCTCTAGCATTTATCAAGATGAAATAAATACGGACTGTGGAAGGAAATGAGATGACAGTTTCTACTTCTAAAGTGTCACAGGCCATGGCCACAACCAAAAGACTCATTCTTTGACTGAAAGACTAAGCTACTTAGAAGTAGGGTAGATGAGGTGGTTATAAGAAAGAAGGGAAAAAAGAAACCACTCTCCCAGGTCCTGCCAAACTAGCCCATCCTTCCTGGCACAGTTAGCCAAGGGTCAAACTCTGAGTATGACTGAATTATTTTACCCCTACCCACTCCTGACCCTGACATAATCATATTCCCATTAGGTCTAATTAAATAGCCCAGGCCTAACTATCCAGTAGGAAAGGAAGCACAGACCAAGAGAGAAATTTTTCCTAAGTGGATATATAAAGTCTTAGACAATATTATATCTTATGAGATGGAACAGGATCTGTGCTCTCTTTGGGAGTTTATGAGAGAAACTAAGATACTCTTTAAATAACGGGATCTCCATGTATCCTTACACTGAGCCAGACCTGTCCTCACATTCCCACGTTCCTTATAAAGTAGGAGAAACGATCTATCCCCTCTGTATTACTTTGTAAATTAATGGTTAGGTCTAACGAAGAACCCACAGAATTCTTCAGTTGGTCTCAATTCTAATAAGAACACTATTCATCCATCATCTTATCATTCCTTTTAGAAAGAGGTAACTAGAGACAATTCCAGCAATATCTTCCTGTTAAGAAATGAGAAAGACCGGGCACGGTGGCTCACGCCTGTAATCTCAGCATTTTGGGAGGCCAAGACAGGTAGATCACCTGAGGTCAGGAGTTCAAGACCAGCCTGGCCAACATGGTAAAATCCTGTCTCTACTAAAAATACAAAAATTAGCTGGTGTGGTGATGTACGTCTGTAATCCCAGCTACTCGGGCAGCTGGGGCAGGAGAATTGCTTGAACTCGGACGCAGAGGTTGCAGTAAGCTGAGATTGTGCCACTACACTCCAGCCTGGGTGACAGGTGAGACTCTGTCTCAAAAAAAGAAAGAAAGAAATGAGAAAGGATTTCTAACTTTGATTACAATTATTCTGTGAAAGCATGCTGAGATACATGTAACACATGTTCCTTTTATTTTAGAAATGGAGATAAGGAAGTGAGGAGGCAAGAAAATTACTCAGGGCCTTGCGGCATGGTAAGAAAAGGCAAGGATGGGTGTTGCTGCAGCCTTGTTTTTCAACTTCCTAGATTACGTTCCTCTGACTCCACTAGCCACTGCTGCTCAGAGTTCAGACTATATAGCATCAAATTACTTTTCTAGAAAATCAAAATAAAAGGAAAGCTGGAATATATGTATACAATTGGTATGGAAGTATGAGATTGGTACCTTTAAGAGAGCATGGTGCATCGTTACCTCCAGTTCCGCTAAAACATGAGCAGCATCCTCATTGTCCTCTTGGACTTCCAGATCCTCCTCAGGGATGGTCTCCCAGTTGCCCTGGTGAGCAACCAGCGTATGCACTAGTTCATACTGTCCAGGGAGCGCCAGGCTGACCCGAGTCTGAGTCCCATAGGTGAAGCGGAGGCGCCGAAGCTTACAGCTCTCCTCACTGCCCAGCTTGGTGGTGGGAAGCACCTGCACCCCCAACAGCAGGTTCAACAGCTGGCGCTTGACATTACAATCCTGGCCGAGGATCAGTATGCAAGGGAGGCAGTCCACAATCTGCTGGAGGTACTTCTCTTCGTTAGGCGGGAAGGAAATGCAGCTCAGCTGGCCTGGTTGGGGAAGGGGAGAGTGGAGGAAGAGAAAGGAGTGGAGAGAGAGGAGTAAGGAAGGGTAGAGAGAGAGACACACAGAGATCCCACGAGGATGTCAGGGTCCTAGAGGAGAAATTTCTAGAAATCTTGGTTGAAGAAGATACCAGGGGAAAAACCCCAGTGAGAAAGGGCTCTTCACATATCAAACAGAATTCTCTTCCCTAGCTTATCCCCCAGGAACAAGCTGCTATTTCTACCCAGAAACGTGGGAATGACCTCATCTTCCCTCCCCACTCCTTTTTCATTCAGTGAAAGGACAGCCTAAGGAGTTTACAAGGACTCCATCACAAACACCAAGATTATTAAAATAACAAAGCCGGAAAAAACTATACTAAATGAGATATGAGCCCAAGGAGAAACATACTTGAATGTGTCAAAATTAAACCCTTCCTTCTGACAGAAGACCTACTACTTGAACACAGATTACAGTCATGTGTCGCTTAACAAGCATACATTGTAAGAAACGCATCATCAAGCAATTTTGTCATTGTGTGAACATCAGAGTGTATTTACACAAATCTAGGTGGTGTAGGTATAGCCTACTGCACACCTAGGCTATAGGATGTAGCCTATTGCTCCTAGGCTACAAACCTGTACAGCATGTTACTGTACTGAATACTAGAGACAGCTGTAACACAATGGTAAGTATTTGTGTATCTAAACATATCTAAACATAGAATAGGTATGCTAAAAATACTGTATCTTTGTTGAACTAGGTGCCATCATGCAGCACATGATACAGCACTGTAGAGCCCTTCTAAATTCTCTATCATATACGGTTTAGCTTATGATCTTCATTATGACTTATTTTACAACTAAATGTATGAGCTAATCTGTAGATACCCATACATAAAATGAAATGTTATTCAAGTTTGCATAAGCTCTAGAATCTTTTCCAGTTCATCTCTCTGATAGCTGGTGACAACATCCCAGCTGTCATCTGTTTCCTTAAAACACTGGGTGCTCAATTAACATCAATACTTCCTAATCAAATCACATTCCTTCTGCTTATGGGAGACAAGACCCTAAACAGGACAAAAGGAAAGAACTGCCTATTAGGATACAATCTAGGCAAATCTAGAAAGAGATGTGATTTATCTCAAAGACATTCTCCTCGATGGATATCCCAATTACCCTGATTTGACCATTACACATTGTTATCCACATATTGAAATATCACAGGTGTCCTATAAATATGTACAAATACAAAGGGTCAATTAAAAAATATGTTTTTCACTGACCTGATGCTTTTGTACAAAAAATAATAAAAAATAAAAATCTAAAAATTAAAAATAAAAAACTTCTCCTTTCAGGGCAACCACTACTAATCTAAATGGATAACTTCCCCAAACACATTCAAATAATGTTCAAGACAGAACAAGCTTCCTAAAGAAAGAATCTCAGTATAGGAAAAATAACCCGGAATTAGTTCAAACTCTCAGTCGGAACTACAACACTTCCTTATTCCTTCAGTACCAGTGTCTGCCTATCTCTACGATTCAGGCAATTCCTGCATTTGTTCAGAAAAGCACAGACACACTGTTCTTAGGCTGCAAAAAGGCCATTCCTTGAGCCAAACACATAGATCATAATTGAAATTTTGGGTGGCACTAACTGAAACAGTATTTGCTTTAGTCACTTAACCATGAGCAGCATTAAATTATGTGTAGGCCATTTATTTAGTTTGTTTCCGGAATTGAAGCAAAAGAGGCCTGAATCAATTAAGAGGTGGTTCTGCTTCAGAGTCAACCTACCCAGCTACAATTTCAAATCCCCAGGCATCCTTCTCTTCCACAAACAGTAATATCAAAAGGGTTAAAAAGAGGTCTGTGTTCAGCAGACCCCTCTATGCATTTCATTAGGGCCCTTCCTTTCGTGTCTGTCTACAAGGATATCACCCTGGCCTGCCACATATATCAGCAACAACAGACACTCAAACAAGCAAATCTACTCTCCTGGGAAAGAGATGAATGCCTTTCAAAAAGCAAACAGAGTTAACTAATTCTGTGCAAGGGTATTTACTAAACAGTGTAACACCAGACAACTAGTCCACTCTTCTAATCTACAACCTAAAAGCAAGAGGACACAGCCAACAGCTTGTGTGGCCACTTAACAAGTAGCAATAAGCCAGTCCCGAGTTCCTTCATACCTTATTCACAACTACAAAACACTTACCATGGTTTATTCTAATTACCTGTTTATAATCATCAAAAGCAGGAAGAACCATCCTATTTCATCCTCAACACCCAACACAATGCCTGACACATACTAAGGGCTTAATGTTATACATTTGTTTGTTCTATCTGAGAATCCATTTAGTGGAGAGAACTATCTATAAAAGGCTGTAAGCAAATCCACTGAGTACTTGGAAAAGTCCAGTATCATGATGAATAGTTTAAGAGCACCCATCACTCCTGAAAACCTCCTTCATGTGGATAAAAGAATAGGACCCTTCAGCCAGGTGCAGTGGCTCATGCCTGTAATCCCAGAAGTTTGGGAGGCGGAGGCAGGCGGATCACCTGAGGTCAGGAGTTTGAAACCAGCCTAGCCAACATAGCGAAACCCCGTCTCTACTAAAAATACAAAAAATTAGCTGGACATGGTTGTGGGCGCCTGTAAATCCAGCTACTCTGGAGGTTGAGGCAGGAGAATCGCTTGAGCCCAGGTGGTGGAAGTTGCAGTGAGCCGAGATCACACCACTGCACTTCAGCCTGGGCAACAATGCAAGACTTTGACTCAAAAAAAAAAAAAAAAAAATAGGACCCTTCGATTCATCTTGCAGAATTTAACTACCGTAGTCTCAGCTTGAGCAGTGAAAAGTCCAGCTAGACTGTCTGCATCCTCATCTACATACACGTCCCAGCTTTCTTCTATTCCCAGTCCTCCCCAGATTTTCATGTGTCTACGTTAATTCATACTGACAACCTTTAAATTCCTATAATAAAAATGGTTTCATCACAAAAGACCAACAAACCTGAATAACCTTTGTTACTGCTACTAGCAGGAGAGTGGATCATAGAGAAGAAAACCAACAAAATCACTTTTCAGGACCGGAGGAGAGGCCCCCGCACCTCTGAGACAAAGTGTCAACCACAGGACAGCCAATGAAACAGGCTGCATCAGCCAAAGCACAGCAGACACACCCCATTATTCATCTGACCCAAATGATCACCTCCCCTGTCCATCTCTCCTACAAAAATTCACCATAAATAAACTTGCTACTGTCAAAACAACCAAAGATCAGTGCAATGGGAACAAACGGAGGCTGAAGTTGAGCCCAGTACTCTGTTAGAAGTCTATATGCAAACATCACTGTTTTCCAACATGTCACTATCCAAGCCCTTTGCTTCTCCCACTAAATCTTTAGCTTCTTCATCCATCCGACATCTCTACCAGATTTGAATAAGGGCATGGAGAAAAATGAAATTGAAAGCAGATGATTTTAATCCTGGATTCTCAGGACACTGCTCAGTGATGTGGAGTGCACTATGGAAGCGGGAACAGCACGAGAACGAACAGGCTTTGCCACTCTGACTAGCTCTGTGACCTTAGCGATCCACTAGATCTTTCTAAGCCTTGAAATGCTCATCGGTAAACGGAGGGGGGTGGAGTTGGATTAGATCATCTTTAACATGCTTTCCAGTTCTAAAATGCCAGGTTTTAACTGCTGAAAGAACAATGATGTGAGGGGGATGGGTGGTTGGTCTGGTTGTTTTTAGTTTAAATTATATGTGAATTTAATTATGCGCTCATCCCCTGGACCACTATAACTGCAGATCAAAAATAGACGGAACTAGCCTGCGGCTCTGAGGACCTACAGTGCGGTCTTCGCAGTTCTCCAAAGAAGAGATTTAAAAGTTGTAGAATGACAGCAGGAGGGAGGAAGAAAACCTGTTTCAGAGCTGGAGCAGCTGCCTCACTGACAGTTAAAGGACTTCCAAGTTAATCGAGTTCTCTTTTGTAATTAATACAACAGCATCTGCATACGGGCTGCCAGAAGGTAACAGCATGGCATCTCAGCTGACGCACATTAACCCTGCCAACTCTGGCTGAAGGAAGATTCACATCAAATCGTCTTAAGTGCAAACCAAGGCTTTTGTTGTTGTTGTTGTTCTTGGTGGTGGTTCTTAAATACACATTGTGATTTTTGATTACTTCTAAACAAAAGTTTCAAGCTAGATGGAAGAGAAGAACAACTAAAGCAGCAACCCATTTTGGTTTTTGTTTTAGATAACATCCATCGAGCCCTTTCTATGTATTGATCACTTTATTTGCCTCGTCTCATTTAATGCTCATAATTCTACCAGACAAGGACTATTATTAACTCCATTTAAAAATGAGGAAATGCAGGCCAGGCACAGTGGCTCATGCCTGTAATCCCAGCACTTTGGGAGGCCGAGGCAGACGGATCACCGGAGGTCAGGAGTTCAAAAATCACCCTGGCCAACATGGTGAAACCCCGTCTCTAAAAAAAAAAAAAAAAAAAAAAAAATGAGGAAATGGGCCAGGCGTGGTGGCTCATGCCTGTAATCCCAGCACTTTGAGAGGCAGACATGGGTGGATGGCTTGAGCTCAGAAGTGCAAGACCAGCAACAAAGGGAGCAACCCCCACCGCACCTTCATTTCTACTAAAAAAATTTTTTAATCAGCTAGGCATGGTGGTGTGCTACTCAGGAGGCTGAGGTGTTAAGATTGCTTGAGCCTGGGGAGATCGAGGCTGCAGTCATCTGTGATCATGCTACTGTGTGTTTCTCCTGGGCGACAGAGTGAGACTCTGTCTCAAAATAATAATAATAATAAAGATGAGGAAATGGATGCTGAAAAAAAGCAAACCAGGCTGGGTGCAGTGGCTCATGCCTGTAATCCCAACACTTTGGGAGGCCAAGGCGGTTGAATCACCTGAGGTCAGGAGTTCCAGACCAGCCTGGCCAACATGGGGAAGCCCCATCTCTACTAAA